ACTCTACTTTGTGTACAACCAGAGACATGAAAAATTGTGCTCTATATGTGTAACATGAACTGAGATGCATTCTGCTGTCATATATAACAAATTAAAATTAAAAATAAATAAAATAAAATAAAAACAGAATAACTGAATATGTTTGGAGAGGGCCTAAAATGGGCTTTCCTTCACCAGAATTGTACTCCAGAGAAAGTAAGCTACAATGGTTATATGAAATGAATTATATAGAGTTAAAAATAGAAATGTATAACTTGTGGCTTTTGAAAAAAATGTGGTGGGTGTATCAGTTATTTTTTTTCTGTTTTTGCTCTTACTCCTGATAAATCTAGAGTGATAGAAAAATTAACGTTGGCTGGTGGTTGTGGCTCCGTGGTAAAATGCTTGCCTAGCATGTGTGAGGCACTGGGTTCTATCCTCAGCACCACATATGAATAAATAAAATAAAGGTATCGTGTCCACCTACAACCAAAAGAAATTAAAAAAAGAAAAAGAAAAATTAAGTAATGGTCTAATGGGACCCAAGAGAAGAATAATTTCACATCACTGAATTGTAGAGGGCTTTCCCTGGCAGTGGGGGATATATGTCCAAGCAGACCCTTTTTAAAATTAGTAAGCTTAAACTGCTCTCTACCAAACATATTTAGAAAATAAAAGAAAGGATTTGATAAAAAAAAAAAATATATATATATATATATACAATTACTATATATCAAATAAAAATATTTTTTAAATAAATTAAAGGGGGCTGGGATTGTAGCTCAGTGGTAGAGAGCTTGCCTCGCACACATGAGGTCCTGGGTTCGATCCTCAGCACCACATAAAAATAAATAAGTAAATAAAAATAAATATATCAAAAATTAATTAACTAATTAATTAAAAATAAATTAAAGGAAACATATTAAATTCTCAACTATTTCCTACTCTGGCTACAACCAGAGAGGTGTAGGTCTCAACTCAGAACTCAAACTCTGTTTTCTGACTTCCAGCTTACTAAGTGCATTTTTCCTTCCCAATTAAAACATTGTTCAGAAATACTTGCAGAGTTTTCTTTATTCTAATCAGTGCACCTTCAGGAGAATCCTTCAAACAGGTGGTCCTACATATAAGTGCATTGTAGCCTCTGCTGACACTAAAACCATCTGGATTTTTCCCAGACAGAGGCTGATTAAATTATTATCTTCAAAGGAAAGGGAAATAATCTTCACAAAAATATAATTTTATTGAAAGGAGGCTGACTCATAGTGGAGTAGGGAGGGAGAACATGGGAGGAATAGATGAATTCTAGATAGGGTAGAGAGGTGGGATGAAAAGGGAGGGGAAAAGGGATTAGCAAGGATGGTGAATGTGATGGACATCATTACCCAAAGTACATGTATGAAGACATGAATTGGTGTCAACATACTTTATATACAACCAGAGATATGAAAAATTGTGCTGTGTATGTGTAATAAGAATTGTAAATGCATTCTGCTGTCATTTATTTTAAAAAATATCAATTAAAAATAAAAATATAAAAAGAAAAAGCAGTTCTCATAAATTCATAGAAATATGCAAATAGATTACTCACAAATAAAAATCTTTAAAATCTTATCAAAGTTTTGAAAATGCTTAAGGAAATTATCTTCAATTTACTTTTTAATGTGTACTTTACTTGTTTGATATTTCAATCCTTTGTTGTCAGATTGCTTCTTTTCAATTTTAGTCTCCCTCCCTTCAGTCTCCTCTCATTCAAATCCAAAACTACCATTTTTAGTGCATGATGGTTATACATGACATTGGGTTCATTGTGGCATAATCATACAAGCATAGAATATAATTTGCTCCAAAACCATCTGGAAAAAAAAAGCCCCCATATCAACTGAGTAATGCTATTTATTTATTTATTTAGAAGATCATGAGCTTTCTTTGCTTTAAAGTTTGTTTCCCCAATGCCTATGGAATAGCCAGCAAAATCCTAAAGTTCTTTCAGGTCTGTGGCCTTGCCAGCCTCCCAGGACTTCACACACATCTGCACCCTGCTCTCTTGAAATGATAAATGGGTAACTCTTCTCTCTACACATCAGGATTCTGAAGATGCAAAATGCTATGCTCTCTCTTGTCTACAGCCCTTTTCTAATCAATTTTTATATACTTTGTAATATTAAGGACTCAATAACTATATGAACAAATAAATTTCGAAAAATTCAAGAAAAACACAGAAATTTAAAAATCAGTCAACATCCTAAAAACTCATTTAAAGATATTTCACTTTTCACTCACATTTGATCCTCCTTCCTACCCCAAGACATTCAGATGTGGAGCAGGGGTTGGGGATCACAAAGTCTCTTGATTGGCCCTTGGAGGATAAGCAATGAAGAATTATACTCAACATAATTCAGAGACATTTTTCTTTCCCCTTAAGTTTTATTTATTTTATTTTGTTTGGGTGGTGATGTGTGGGGGGTTTTTGTTTGATATTTTTTTCATACTGTGGGGTTTCTTATTTGCTTGCTTTGCTCTTTCCCCTGAATTTTTTACTTAGAGTATATCTGACATCTAAGAACCTAGTATACACAATGGCTAGGTCTGGCTACCAAATTTAATTTGTATGGCTTCAAGACACACAGTGAATTCTGGCCTTGGAAACAATTTAATCTAATTCATCAAGGCTGAAGCTACTATGAATTGTAACACGTTAGGTTCATGACGAACCATCCATAGAAAAATGAAAAAAAGAAATCACTTTTCCTTCTCCATTTAATCACATTAGCTCATGTGCTAAATCTGTAGGCCCACCTGTTTGAAGGATTCTCCTGAAGGTGTGCTGATTAGAATAAAAAAACCCTGAAAGTATTTCTGAACAATGTGTGAATTGGGAAGGAAAAAAAAACACCTTGGATGACATTTCACTAATTACATTCACAACTCTTCACTTTTACTAACAAAATGATGATTAGTAGCTAATTTTAGGATATTAATTGATTGTCTTTATTAGTAATTAAAACTGTACATGTTAATTGTACCAAAAAATGGAGGAATTTAATTATTGAAAAGAATGAATACCACTTCATACATTTTAACAGATATTAAAAAAGTATTCGTGATTAAAATTAAATCCTATAGATTTCCATTCATTTTTTTATTTGTAGTTTTTAAAATAAATCTTTAGTATAAATATTTTTAAACAAAAGAACCCAGCTTTACTTGAATCATTTTCTTGCTGATAATTAATGCTGATCATGAATGTGAAACCCTGCATATCATTATGTGAAACATTTATGCATTCAGAATGTCTACTTGGTGGTTTTCTTCTTAAGAAGCTAAACAATTCATTAAACAAGTTGCTCCTGAATGGTAGATCAGAACAAGCATAAGCTGCCTTCTGTAGAGTTCTATTGTGAAGCTGTACCCATTTGTGTTTTCTTTGAAGCCATAAAAATGAAACCCTTATGCTCATATTAAAAGCATAAGAAAGGCATCTATTATGTCAATAGATTTAAAACAGGGCCTTAGACACAGTGAGAACCACTCCAAACTGGCACCCTTATAATAGCAAAGGTTAAGAAGTGCATTCCCAGGGAAAACCTTCAAAGGCCTACATATCATTATATCCCAAAACAGATGGCATCACAGTGTTTGGAACTATAGTTTATGGACACCTACAATCACAAATAAATCCTTTCTAATCCCACTCTTTTGTCTAGATTTTGTACTTTGATGATAACTGCAGGTGCCTTTTCTCCACTATATCATAGTACACCATTTTATAAATAATGAAGATTCACATAGATATACGGACACAACTCAATAAAAACAACTTTTATACAATGTATAAGTAAAGTATTTTAATGGTAGCAGATTTATACTTTGTAGTAATCTATGACTTCCAGATTCTAATCTATTATAAATCTTCAGTAGTCTGAATTTTACAGGAAAAATATGATGAAAATATACTTCTCTCCTATATTGCTGGAACTATAAATATGATTTTTTTAAAAAGCCTCTCCATAAGACAACGTGGAATTATTTAGTGTCTATTTATATACCACGGAGAAACTCTCAAACACAGGAGATAGGGACAATAACATTCACAGTGGCATCTTTTGTATTAGCAAAAACTACAAAGAAGCCACAAGTTCAAGAGGAAAACGAGTGCAGGAACTAGTCTACCAGTGTCTGATACACTCAGCAAATGCAGACTGAGCGGCAATGACAAGGGATGAACTACGGCTCCACACACTGATGTAGACGAACCCAGAAACAATGCTGAGCAAAAAGGAAGAGCCACAGCTATGTGCAACTTATTTCCACTTGTGAAAGTTAAAAACCATGCAAAACTGAGCAATGTGATATTGTTATTTATGTTCAGTTGTACTTTTAATCTAAAATTCTGCTGAGAATAACCAAATCACACTACTGTGGATGACAGATGACAAAAAATTTCGTATGATTGTTCCCTATAAATCCCTTTTTTTGAATTTAAACATAGTTTACTACAAAAATTATCTACAAACAATTTCTAATAGATACTTACAAGTCAAAATATTGTTTAAAAATCATATACTTCAATATTGAATAACATATGCTCTCACTTACATATAAAATCTAAAACAGTTGAAATCATAGAAGTAAAGAGTAGAACAGTGGTTACCAGGGGCAGGTGGGAAGGGTTGGGGAGATGTTGGTTAAAGGAAACCAAAATTTCAGTTAAATGGAAGAAATGAGTTCAAGAGACATATTTACAACACAATGACTACAATTAATAAAAATGTATTAGCATCTTGAAAATTACAAAGTAGATTTTAAGCTATGTGAGGTAACGCATGTTAATTAGTTTGATTTAGCCATTCCACAATGTATACTTGTTTCAAAACAATAGGCTGTACATGGTAAATATATATGATTTTTATATCTCAATTAAAAGTAACTAAATACTTAAGAAAATATGTAAAAGATAAACCATAAGAAGATTTGAATTGTATCACAACTTAACAGAAAAGTTTGACTTTATAGGTTACCTGAAACTTCACAAGGTCTGTGAGACTGTAGAAAAGAACTCTTCAATTCCTGTCTATATATAAGATGTGGCTTATTGTGGACTTCTTCATGTTCACTCCCATCTGCCTTCATTATAGGTTCTAAGAAATATTCACCATCATGTGCTTTAAATGTTCCCATCTGAAAATAAAGAAAACAAAAGTCAACATTTTTCCAACTGTAACTAAGAAGACACATTGCACCGCAGGTTAAAATGAGCACATGGGGTTAGGGGAGTGGCTCAGTGATAGAGTGCTTGCCTAGCATGAGTGAGGCCCCGTGTTCAATCACTAGCACGACAAAAAAGTAAAATAAAATAAGCACACAGAAGTAAAACAGCAGAACCTGTTCAAAAATACCACAAATGAACATAAAAATTTCCTTTTCAAGACTCATTCTTCTTTCTCCATTCTTATATATAAAGTCATGAAAAACATAAATATTCCAATAGGCAGAGCTGCGATAATAGGTATTCCAGATATAAAAAATGGCAAAAGCAAAGTCCTCAAAATAGGAAAAGATAGGTATAGAATAGTCTATAAATAGAAACGGCTGTTTGATTTAGTCTGTGTAAGGCAATAATGTGAGATCAAGACTAAAAAGTAGGCTGGGTCAAAATTGTTGAATGTGGTGCTAGAAATTTGGATTCATCAGCAATGAAGAGCCATGAAAGAATTTTCACAAAGACCTGTCTTCTGAATTCCAGAATCCAGCACCCAAACTGTTGTTGACATCATTCACACAACATTCCCAACCTTAAGAGGTCTAAGACCATACTCTTTTTCTTTTTTGTGCTCTAATTTTTATTTTAAGTAAAATAAAAATTTTTGGTTCAGAGATCGAACCCAAGGATGCTTAACCACTGAGCCAAATCCCCAGCCCTTTTTATTTTTTATCTTGACACAGGATCTCACTAAGTTGCAAAGGGCCTCAATAAGTTGCTGAGGCTAGATTTGAACTTGTGATCTTCCTATCTAAGCCTCCAGAGTCACTGGCATTATAGACATGTGCCACAATGCCTACACATACTCTAGATTTTGGGTCCAAATTTGTTGTTTTTTAGAAAACACTCCCTACTTCAGTAAATGGCCTCAATATTTTCAGATTTCTGAGACCAAAACTTCTTTTAGAGAAATCAAGGATGGTTCTTTCCTTCAAATCCCACATTCAGTCCACCTGCAAATCCTGATGGCTCAACTGTCAAAGTGTAATCAAAATCAAATGAGTTCTCCCATATTAGCACTACATCTATGATCAAATCTTATGATCTTTCTTCCTGAACTAAATCGATAGCCTTCTGTAATCTAGCTTCTATATATAGTCATAATAATTTTTTTCAACAAAAGTATGGATCATGTCACTCCCCAGGGGAAAAAAAAAATACAACTAAGGAAAGTCACTCAATAAAATCAAAAGTTCTTACAATATTCTTCAATATTCTATGTGATGTGTCACCCCTCTGTACCCCTCCATTCCTCCAAGCACACACTGACAACAATTAGGCTCTGGCTTTCTTTTCTCCTACTTTTACCTTATCTCAAACTAGAGCTCTCTCCTGGTGCCTTTTCTATTTCTCAAACATGACAAACAGAGTCCCACCTCAGGGACTTTGTGCTTACTAAACCTGCCTCAAGCACTTCTTCATGGGATTTCCCAGTTATCATTTCTTTGGAATCTCCACTCAACATTCATCACCCTATACAAAATGGAACTGAACCACCTCTCTAGTCCCCATATCCCAGTTCACTTTCTTGATATCACTTATCACCTGATACATTTGTATTTATGCTTCTTTGTAACTTGTCTGATACAATCCACTGAAATATAAGCTCCATGAGAATAGGGCTTTGCTTGTACTCTTCTCTGTATGATTGCCACATACCAGATACTGAATAAATATACGCTAAATGAATGAATTCTTGAGACCATAAGCTATGAAATTTAACTTAGTAAGATTTAATGTTAGAGGTGATAGGAAAAAAAAAACTAGCAACTACAAGACAGGCTATAACCAAGAAGAGGTAACAAAATCTGAATAATGGTAATGGTGATAGTGATGGTTTGGCAGCTGGAATAGATTGATTACAAAGATATCAATGCCTACAGAAAGTAGAAAAAGAGACAGTGAGAAGAGTGATAGAGATGATTTGGGGGGAAGATATAATTTACTAAAAAGAATTCAAAAAGATTAGATATCCTAACAGATCCCTTTCTACCAAGAAAAAGATGTCCAAGTTACATCACATATAAAAAAAACCCTAGCCTTGATGGTTTCACAAAAGAATTCCACAATACCTTGAAAGATCAGATAATTCCACCATTATTGAACTGTTCCAAAATATAAAAAGAAAAAAAATCCAAATTATTTTTATGAAATTAATGTGAACTTAGCATCAAAATCTAGAAATGACAACACTAAAACACAACAAATGAATACAGAGCAAGCTCATATGTGAATATCAAGGTAAAAGTCCAAAATTATATTATCAAAAGGCATAATAAAATCTAGCATCACATTAAAAGACTAATACATGGAGCTTATCTTAGGAAAGCAAGTATGATTCAATATTAGGAATCCATTAATAAAATCCATAATAAATAATAAAGTCACATGGCTTTTGATAAAATTTATAAATAATATTTTTTAAATTGTAAAATAGATGGATGCTTCCTTAACATAATAGATTATGTCACAACCAAAAAGACAACATCAAGCATAATGAAGACATTACAAAGCACTTCACATAGGTCAGGATTACAAAGATTCCCTTTACTATACAACAGAATTAGATAAAAGAAGGAGAATAGAAGTATAAAAATTGGAAAGGTAGACGTAAAATTGTCATCTTCCTATATTACACCATATATACTTTAAAATAATAATATTAACTGAAAAACTACTGCTAACCCAAAGTAAATTTAGTGAGATACATATATCCAAACAATTGCCCTCTCTCTCCCTGGTCAGGTGAGGCTAAATCATCCAAGGTAGGCATATATAATAAAAATGGCTTTACTCCAATATAGAAGTCAGGTATCATATTCTCATTCATTCTCTCTCTCTCTCTCTCCCCTTGTCTCTCTCTGACTTTATCTCTCTCTCTCTTTCTCTCTCTCTCTCTATATATATATGTGTGTGTGTGTGTGTGTGTGTGTGTGTGTGTGCGTGTGTATACCTCTATATTGATATATATTCATCCTTACATAATTCATATATCAAACTAACAATAACTTTGAAACATGTTATGATATACTCCTCACTTTACAGGTAAGACAAATAAGGAGCAGAGGGGTTAAGAAACTAGTCCCCAAGTCTCACACCTAGTAAGTGAGAAGAGGAACAGCCCAGCTCAACAATTCATGCCTTAACTCATTACACTACACAGTCATCATATGCCAATTTTGATAAGTTCTATGAAATAATCAACAAATATTTCATATGTACCTACTATGGACCAGACATAGTTTTATGAGCTAAAGATACAAAAGTGAACATGACAAAATCCTTTCCTTCAAAGAACTTATATAGGAAAAGACAGAAAACATGTAAAAATGTAATACACCAATAAGTGCAATAAAAAAAAACTAGATCAAAAAGATAGAAAACAACAGGTGGGGAGACCTTCTACAAAGGGAGAGCAAGGTTGAAGTTGGAATAACAAGAAGGTAGCCATGGAAAACTTCCAGGGAACATTCCAAACAGGAACCAAATAGCCTAGAGACAAGGAAAGCTTGACAAGTCCAGGTGACAGAAAACGGTAAAGCTAAAGCTGTGCCAACCAGGAAAGATGGACTAGTAGGATATGAGGTTCAATCAGCAGAGGTCAGCACTGCTTGACTTTGAAAAGCATTAATCATCACACCTCAGAATATACAAACATATATTTACCTATACTTAAAACTAAGCATTTTTCCACTTAGAAAAGCACATTTCTGCAAAGAACCACTTCAGAAGTGATTTACTGAATTATAGGTAATACTATAGGCACAGGTTTAGTGACTGACACTCCATTTCTTAATTATAAATATGTTAAGATAATTTATAGACAACTTTTAAATGGTTGTTTTAAATTCTATTATAAATAATAAAGGTATATTTTAAATTGCTATTTTAATGGAAAAAACACTAATGCCATTTAAATACTTATGGCAATTGCAGGCATAAAATTCTCTTTACGATAATTACTAGATCAGTGTTTTTACTCTCTTTACAGTTCAAACATTTAAAACATTGCCTGAAACGGACACTCAATATTTCTGTAGAAATGAAAATTATGAGAACCAAGATGGTATCTGAGATTTTTCTCATATTCCCTTTAATAATTCTTTGATTTTCTTTCTAAACATTCTTAAGTTATGGTAGCCTTGAGACTTGTCTGGGATATATTTCCATGATAATTGTCTTTCTTTGCTGAAAACTAAAATATTTAGGAACTCTTAATGTGCTATTAGGATTGTATATTTTAAATGGTTTAAAAGTTAAAGAAATTCCATCAAATATACTAACTATAAATTAGTGTCTTTTGGTAAAAAGCAAAACTATACATATTAAGATATTTTATCTATTTCCTGGATAGTTTCCTAGTGACCTGTACCCTAGCATATTTCATTAATGCTACCAATATATAACCACAATCAAATATTTTCAGTATGTACCAAAATTCTAGCATTCTCTATTTTATATTAAAACTAATTTCAACTGTAATTATAAGAAGTAACAAAGACACTGGTTTTGAAATCTGAGTGCATGGATCCATGCAAAAATCCCTTTCTGCCTTTTAAAAAAAAGCTTGCTGAAGAGGGGAAATGTGATATCTAGGGAAAAGATGCAAATAGACATGAACTAGCCTGTTACTTGGCTAACTGCAACTACAAAACCACTTTGAAGAACATCATACTATTCCCAAATAATACTGAAAATATTTACACCTGTGGAATTTCTTTCATGCTCCCTGGGCTCAAAATCTGACTATGAGGTACTTCTATTTTAATGTTCCAATAAAACTGCACATAGATCCAGCTCATGCTCCCATATCAGATAAAGCAAATGCAGTTCAGTCCAGACTCATCAGCACCTCCTTTTAGTTGTGCTAGAACAGCTTTTGAAGAATAGTGCCTTTGCAACTAAAAAGTTCTTTCTT